CCAGCAACAACCCTTTGGCCTTAAAATAAAATTAAAAGGGAAGAACCTAGTGCGTCAAGCCTAATAATAATATTAAAGGGAAAGAACATACCCATTGGGGATGGTTTGAGGCCCTAAATAATAATAATCAGGAGAGATGACCTAGTGTTCCTCCAAGCCTCCACCTATCAGAATGCTCTGACAGGCAAGTGTTGCGAAAAGAAAAACAACAAATAAGGGAGCTATCTACTAAACACATACACATTTATATACACACAATCATAGATATACACACACATAGACGTATGTCTGTGTGTATGTGTGTGTGTATGTGTGTATATATCTGCGGTTGTGAGTGTTAATGTGTGTATATATATACACACACACAATCAGAGATTGTGTGTGTGTGTGTGTGTGTGTGTGTGTGTGTATATATATACATATACATACATACACCCACCCACATAACCACAGACACAATCACATACCCACACAATCATATACATAAACATACATAATCACAACACAGATACACACACATCACAGACATACACAAACACAATAACAGACCCACACAAATACAATCACAGACACACAATCACATATACACATAATTCGACATACACACACAAACATTACATACATACACACATTTAATAATTAATAAGTCCACCCAGCCCCACTACCTTTCTCTGGGAGAACTGGAGTGGATCCTCAGTCCCTGGTGTTCAATGATTGCTGCTGGGATCTCTATGCTTTTCCTGCACAGGTCCCTCGCGCACCCTGTAGTGACGCCGATGCCAGGAGGACGTCATAACCCAGCTGCCAGCTCACTGAAGGGTGTGGTAGGGGTCTGTGCAAGAAGAGCATAGTAAGTAAAGGGCTCCTTCGCCCAGACAGACACCAAGATTTTAAGGGAAGAGGGGTGGCGGCAAGGTGTATGGTGGCCATGTATGTGATATTTGTGATGGTTATTTATATCAGATTAAATGTGTGAATGCAGATTTGTATTTTTTCAGTGTCACATGCACACAGTCGCATGGTCAGAAACAGTCAGATGCACACAGTTATACACATATACTGTCAAATACAGCCACGAGCACACAGTCCCAGGCACATAGTCACTCACACACGGTCAAACACAGTTACAGGCAGACAGTCACACACATAGTTACAGGCAGACAATCACAGACAAACAGTTACAGGCAGCATCACACAGTCACAGGCAGACAGTCACCAGCACAGTGACAGGCAGTCAGTCACACACACAGTGACATGCAGACAGTCCCACATAGTCAAAGGCAGAAAGTCATACATATAGTGACAAGCAGTCACACACACACACAGTTACAGGCAGATAGTAACACACACAGTCACACGCAGTCGCACACTGTCACAGGCAGACAGTCACACACTTTCACAGGCAGACAGTCACACACTTTCACAGGCAGACAGTCGGACACGCAGTCACAGGCAGACAGTCATACACACAGTCACAGATAGTCACAGGTACAGGTAGTATACTTGTACGTTTGAGCTTAAAATCATAAACTTTCATCAAGACGTTCTGATGAAAGTTAATGATTTTAAACTCAAATGTTGATATTGAAATAAAAGATACATTTAGAAAAAGACCCATGAGTGCTGATTGTCTATGGATATATAATACAGTTGTAATAAAAATGATTCAACCCTCATTGAAAATCAAGTTTATTGTCAAAATTTACAGACTTTCAGCTGTTTGCAAAGAACAAATCAAACAAAAGCAATTGAAATAGCTCAACACAACAAATGCTTCAAGTGGTTTCTCCTAATTCAACTGAAAATGCAACTTATAAGGATTTCTCTAGTCTCAAAATTATTCAACCCCTTTATGCCTCTAGTTCAGTAATATTCTTGGGTTTGCTTGCTGAAACTGCCTTCTTCAAACCCCACCAGAGATTTTCTTTAGGGGTGAAGTCAGGTGGCTGTGATGGCCACTGTAGAATTTTCCAGGACTTCTTCTGCAACCAAGCCTTGGTGGAATTTGAGATATGCTTGGGATCATTATCTTGTTGGAAGATTCAATGACACCAGAGCTTCAGCTTCCTTACAGACAACATGACATTTTCTCATAGGATTTCCTGATACTTTAATGAAAACATCTTGTCTTCAACATGCTGCAGGCTTCCCGTGCTAGAGGATGCAAAGCAGTCCCAGAGTATCACTGAGCCATCACCATGCTTAACTGTAGGCAGAGTGTTCTTTTTAGCATATGCTTCATTCTTCTTTCTCCAGACATACTGCTAATCCATTGAACTAAAAAGTTCCAGTTCTGTTTCATCGCTCCACAGAACAGAATCCCAAAATGTCTGTGGCTTATTTATATGACTTTGAGCATTTTGAACTGACTTTTCTTGTGCTGTTATGTCAGTAGTGGTGTATGTCTTGAGGTTCTGGCAGGGCCGGTGCAAGGATTTTTGCCGCCCTAGGCAAAAATATGTTTGCCGCCCCCCCATATGTCCTGCCAACCATGTGACATCACAATGCCCCGCCCATATGCTCTACCATATGGGCCAACGCCAGTCTTCACAAAGTGTCTTTTATCTGAAAAGACAGTGTGTTTACATTAAAAAGCCTACAGGCACAGGCTATAGACACCAGAACCACTACATTATGCTGTAGTGCTTCTGGTGACTATAGTATTCATTTAATGTGAGGTAAATTAGAGATTAGTGCCACTAATAATATATTGGATTGCCTACTTACCACCAGATGAGGACAAGAGGCTGATGATGGGCTTAGTCTGGCTCCACAGGTCTGGTGTAGAAGAGACTCTCTGGAGACTGTTTTTAACAGTGCTCACAACAATTAACGAACAGGAAGCAGCTCCATTTTTAGGGCCCCTTACACAGCTCAAGGTCTGGGCCCCCAGGGCTTGACCATGAGTATGCCTACAATGCCCACCCATAAATCCACCTACATGGCCCACCCATGAGTTCTCTCACAGGAAGTGGAGTGTATGTGTGTAGGGGATGTTTTATGTGTTATTGTAGAGGATGCAATGTGTGTGTGTTCTTATAGAATGTAGTGTATAGGGATACCAATTTCAGTAAGGGATGTAGTGTGTTTATAGGGGATGCAGTGTATGTTTGCGTGTAAGGAATGCATTGTATGTTTCTGTGTGTGTGTGTGTGTGTGTGTAAGGGGTGCAAGGTGTGTTTCTGTGTATGTAATTGAATGCAGTGTGTGTCTGTAAGGGGTGCATTGATTGTGTAAGAGATGCATTTTGTTTCTGTGTGTAAGAGAATGAGTGTTTGTGTGAACGTAAGGGATGCATTGTGTGTTTCGGGTGTGTCTGTGTGTGAGTAGGAATGCATTGTATGTTTCTGTGTGTGTGTGTGTGTGGTGGGATGCATTGTGTATGTGTGTAGTGTAAAAGAGAGGTTTTGTAGGGTAAGATAGGGATTGAGAGGGGAGCAGCTCTTAATTTTTTTTAATTTCTTTCATAGTGCTCTCCCCTCCTGTCAATTATTGATTTCCCCTTCCCTCCTGTCCCTCCTTGTTCTCCCCTTCTGTCCCTTAGTGCTCTCCCTTGGCCCCCTGTCCCTCTGCAGTCCCCCCTTGGTGGTCTTCTCACTCCCCCCCTCTCCCCCTTAGTGGTCCTCCATCCCTCCTCTTAGTGGTCCTCCCTCTCCCAAATCCCTTAGTAGACATTCCACTCCTCCCCCCATCCCCTTAGTGGTAACCCCCCCAAATGGTCAATATCCTCTTTCCCCCCCCTCCTTAGTGGTCCTTACCCTCCTCCCTTCTCCTTAGTGGTCCTCCCTCCTTACCCCCCTTTGGTGGTCCTTTCCCCCTTAGTGGTCCTCCCTCTCCCAAACCCCTTAGTGGACCTCCACCCTCCTCCCTCAGTGGTCCTTACCTCCCTCAGTGGTCCTTACCTCCCCACCCCCTTCCCAGTCCTTACCTCCCTCCATCTCCTCCCCAGTGGTCCTTACCCCCCTCCTCCCCAGTGGTCCTTACTCCCCCCTCCTCCTGCAGTGGTCCTTGCTCCCCCATCCTTCTCCTCCCCAGTGGACCTTACTCCCTCCTCCCCCCAGTGGTCCTTACTTCCCACCCCCCCTCCCCCAGTGGTCCTTACTCCCCCCCATCCCCCAGTGGTCCTTACTCCCCCTCCGGTCCTTAGCTCTATACCAGGGGTCCTCAAACTCCGCCGCCCCAGATGTTGCTGAACTACAACTCCAATGATTCTCTGGCTATCTATGTAATTCAAAGAATCATGGGAGTTGTAATTCAGCAACATCAGTTTGAGGACCCATGCTCTAGACCAGTGATATTCAACCTTTTTCTACCTACCGCCCACTAATGCATCTTTCTTGATGGAAAAATTTCCTTACTGCCCACCCGTTTTCGCACAAGTGCGGAATATTTTTTAGAAAGGAGGGTGTTTTTAAAAAAAATAAATGTACGTACATTTATCTTTTTATTTCTACTTAATGCATGTTTATAATGTTTTTAACTTTATAAAGTTTAATGAGAAACAATAAAGTAAATTGAAATTACCTTTACTAGTGATTAATGAGATCCTTAAGGTTGATGCTGCGAGACTAAATATTTGATATCTGGTTCGATTTTCGTAAGGAACAAACGAAGGTCTCCTCTTTCGGTGATATTCAGATGACTTCTCTGTTTGCACATAATATGATTTCTCATCTGTGCGTCAGCTCCCCTCCTCTCCCTCCTCAATTCCCCTCCCCACTTTTTTTTCCTTTTTTCTATTTTTTTACCTTGCTTATATCAATGCCCAGTAGGAAGACTGAGCTAGGTTGCCCACTTACTATAGCCCACTATAACAGACAGGCACACACACACACATGACACATACATACATACAGACAGGCACACATACAGACACACACACAGACATGCACACATACACACACATAAGACACACATACAAAGACACACATACATACAAAGACACATACATACAAGACATACATATAAACACACACAAAATATTTTAGTCACCCTCCTGTTTCCTACCTTTTAGGTGCAGGAGGGTGACTTTCCCTGGGGTCCAGTGGTGGCTCAGGTGGATGGGAGTCAGAGTTCCCACTCTGACTCCCTCTGCTTCCTCCCGCGGGGTCTGTGTGTTAGCTGGGAGGAGTGATGTGTGGTCACTTCCTCCCAGCTCTGTGTAATGTAATCACAGGGGGGCCGGTCGCGCTGTTAACGCACCCAGCGCTGACCGGGCCCCCTAACAATCCACATCCATTGGGTGGCCGTGATGGTGATGGTGGTACCCGGTCGCAGGGGTACCGCCGGCTCGCACTCGCCCTCCCGCCCACCTAATCTCTAAAATTGAGGAAATCCCTACCGCCCACCTGGAATCCTGAAATGCCCGCTAGTGGGCAGTAGGGACCATGTTGACGAACCATGCTCTAGACCTTTGCCTAGCAGGTTGGATAGGAGATAGTTCTGTGTGT